TATAAATATACATATATACCGTTTTGTTTGCCGTATAGGTTGCACCTTTTTGCATAAATTAGCATGACTTATACAGCGAAGCAGCATATTTTGTTTTTTCCCATATTTATAATATAATTCAATTTTTGGCTGAGATCTGACTATTTAATTCATTCTGACACGGAAAATATTGAACACTACCATTTTCAGCTGCTAGAGGGCCCTTGAGTAATATGGCAAGCCAAGTGTCTCATTAATCGGTAAAAGCGGCTGTTGATGAGACACTTGGCTTGCCATACAGAGCCACCTTCGCCTCGCTCCAGAACTCCTGTAGCAAACATCAAATCAGCTGCATTTCACCGCGCCGCCCTGGAGAAATGCAGCTGATTTGACCGTTAAAGTGCATTTATTAAGGAAACGTTCAACTGAGACACACCTTTTACTATAACCTTTAAAACAATTGTTTTTAAGTGTTAATCTTGTTAAAGTCCCCTCGTGCACAGTCCCGCAGCCGCCATTTGGCAGCCAATCGATTTTTGACACACTGGCCCACGTTTCCGGGTGGTCAGCGGTGACGCATAATAAATGCAACTTGTACGGCGACAAGTACGGTAAATGGGTATATATTTATGTATACACATGTGTATACAGATGCAGTGTTTCTTGTAGGTTACTTGCCTTCAGAGGGCGCTTGTCTCGTCAAGGTTTTTGTCGACTGGGGGGTGTTGCAGAGCGAAGCAGAGCTCTGTGGTGGTAGTTTTCGATGGGGGGTCAGGGGGGTGGATTTGGACAAGAAGCAGAATGCTACATCTGTATTCGTGGCAGCAGTTGTTGACATAGTGGGGGAGGCGGCGTAGAGGAGGAGAAGCGGAGTGCTACGTTTGTATTAGGGGTGCACCAGTAAATCGGCCGGCCCATTTATCGCCCCCGATGTCCTTTAATTTTGGGAAATAGGTCGATGCATGAAAAACCGATTTTACCAATTTTTTGTTTTGTTTTAACAACAGTTGTCTGAACTTCCTTTAAATTTCAGAGCACCACCTCATGGCCAGTTAAAACAAGTCTGTATAGTTTCTAGGACACTGTTCATGGGTAAGTTGTTCAATAAAATAATATTGGACAATTGAAGGTGCCTTGTGACCTTATAACACTTGACAGTGTCTCTTATAAAACTAAATCTCTATCGGCAAGTCAGGTTTTTTAGAGACTGTGATCGGCCAGAAAACTGCAGTTTGTAGTCTGAGCTGCTAATCTCCACTCCCTGTCTGGAAGTGGTGGAGCTGCGTGGGGGGGCGGGGGATTTAGTAGGCGGGGCACCCACCTTGAATAATGGCAGAGGAAACACTGAGATGTGTGTGTAAACGAACCGCCCCATCATTTGTGGAGACTATGCTTTCTAGTTTTTATACTTCGTAAAAGTATAGTTTCCTCAAATGATTGGGGTGGTTAAAGATTAATCTGTGGGGGCCAAGGCCACCATTGGCC